GGGATGTCAAGTCAACTCTGTCATGAGTGGGTTAGGGTAACTCAGTAGTCTCAAGTTGTATGTTGCAGCTTGTTTTTTTTTTTATTTCTTCTGAAACGGTGAGTATCTTGAGATCCCGGTGGAGTTGGTTATTTGTGACATAATACGGTGAGTTTACAATCATCCACAGAGTTTTTGATATAAAATTACGCTCAAAAAATGGAAAAGAAATTTTCTTCTATAAAAATATCTTAAATCTGTTTGCAGCTCTCAAGAAAAAAATTTTGGATAACCTATTTTTTTTTTGCAAGTAAATTTATTTGCAGCGGACGCAAAGTACTTTTTCAACCAACAAAAACAATGAAAAATATTTCTTGTGATTGTTCTTGTGAGCTGCAAACAGCCCTTAAAGCATGAATCATATTTTTAACCGACAAAAAGGAGGAGGTTATCAGTTCGTCGGAATATTTTTTTTTTTTTTTTTATGTGTGTTACCGCATAACTTTGGACCACGTCAACCGATTTCGATAATTTTTTTTGCATCATACCAATCTGGTTCAGATCCGATCAGTGGATCATGAGATATATATATATATATTTTTTTTTTTTTTATATTAGAATTGAAGTCGGTTTTTTATGCTAAAAATTACTTTTTATAAAAAAGTAACAAAAAATTTTAACTTTAAAAGCCTTGAACATTTATAGCGAAAATCAACATGTACTCATTTCTGCTCCCCACTGTTTATGTAGTCGTGCCGTTGAATGAATTTTTTGCTTTGCGCTGATTTTTTTTTTTAGTTAGGCAAAAACTATTACAAGAATTTTTATTCAGAACGTGATTTGTGTTTAATAAATTTTTGCTGCTATTAGCGCATACTCCTACATTCATATTAATGCATTTTAAGTATTCACCACGCAATTACGATGAGCTCACAAGCATTTTCCGTTGCTTTCGCCATCGCTTGGCAGCCGCAGCCGCAGCCCATGACTCGCCGTTACAACCACCGCTCCAACCAAATTCTGCCTTATACCCTGTACTTCCACAAAACGCTCGCTATTTCTATTTGTGTAAAATATTAGCGGTAATTTTTTTAGTCAATACTCCAACAATAATTCGTAATGCTTATTGCGGCCATTGGGTTGTATAGTATAGCGGTTTTTGTTCTGCTGTATTTTTGTACTATTTCTTTAGCCAACTCCTCGTGGTGTATGTAGTATGTAATTTATTGACCACAGCACCTACTACCTGGGCAGTACAACAGATGCCTGTATTTGTAAATACTTATTTGTGTATTTGTACATATGAGTATATGTCCATGTTTTCCTTTTTTTTCTTCCAAACCCATCATTTCATCGCTCGCCGTCTTTCACACTTTTTGTGCCAATGGAATTTGGGTTAACGCGTTTCAATTTTACAATTAACGACTCAGCGCCAGTGGAGAATGCGAAAGAAAAGAATAATGTTCAGGAAGCAGCAGGTAGGTGTATGTATGGCCAAAAAGTTTTGAGCTTTTTAGCAAACTGAAATATTTGTTCTCATTATTTGCCATCATTTTTTTTATGCTGTAACGCCTTCTGTTGTTGTAAATTTATTAGTGCTCATCTATTTTGTATCGTTAAGAGCTACTCAATTAATAATTGGTATAATTGAAATCTTCCGCCAAAAAATTAAATTTGAACAAATTGCAAGTTTAGATTAATTTTTAGTAGACTCCCTACTAATGGCAATGCAAAACTTCGTTCACATCCAAGCTCACGTGGATGATGTTTTTGCATTGTCATCTGTTGAATTTCTCAGAGAGGTCTGTGTTAAGATGCAGAGAATCCCGAATAAGATTGATAAATGGTGCACTTTGCATCAGTGGCGGCAAAATTTGAGTTGAGTTTTATTTTTAAAGTGGACAAATAAAGAAAATTAAAATTATCTATTAAAATTACTCAAATTTCAGTTGTCATGGCAACAGTAGCTTTTCATAAAAATCACCAATATTTTTGCCCAGGGACCGTAACTGCTAAAACTTTTATTAAAAAAAATCGCTCTTTAAGAATTATTTTTTTACTTTTATTTAATTACTCCTTAAATAACTGTTATTTCTGAATTTCATTTTATATATCCACTATAACAATTTTTTTATATTTTTTTCTAAATAATTTGCAAATAACAGTAATTTTTGATTTTTAAATTATATGTCTTGGATAACAGTTATCGAAGACTTTCATTTATAAAAATCATGAATAAAAAACAGTCACTTACCTTTATTAGTTAACACTTATAAAAGTCATTTGTATAAGTGGCAGTAAACGTTTGTTTCCCAACACCTTCTTAACTGCGAAAAATGTTAATGACTTTTATAAAACATTTCAAAGTCGGTGACTGATTTATATTGATGACTTTTTAAAGTAACAGTAAGACATATAATATAAAAATCAAAGATAATTGTTATTTTGGATTTATAATATAAAAATCAAAAATAATTGTTATTTATTTTAATTTTGCATAAAAATTGCAAATAAAAATTTATTTTTAAATTTGAGTCTCGATCCAGTAGCGCATTTCAAGGTCATTGAGCACCTTGTATCGGTTGCAGTAGAAAACTGAAAGTTGATATAGATATTGCAAATATCAAAAGGAAAAAAAACTAAGGGGTGCCGCGTTTTCTAGGATGAATTTTTTTCCACACAAAAACTGGACCACTCTAATGTACATGTTATTCTAATCAGACCAATCGTCACGAACTCTGCTGTAGTATGGTGGCACAAAACCATGTTCAAAAGCACGGTTTCTGTGTTAAACAGGCTATAAAGGAGCGTGTGTATGTATAGGCATTACGGGCGCCTCTGATATCTGGAGTATACTTTGGAAGAAAGCACGTCGCTAGATTTCGTACAAAGGAATCAATGGAGAAATGCAGACACTCTCTCGGGAAGCTCGATGAAAACACTCAATACTGACGGCTCAAAGATGGAAAATGGTACTGTGGCATGGACCGCCAGCCTGGACGGTAACTTCAGATGCTTTACTGATTTGCGTGCAATAGCAACGCTCTTTTAATTGGAGTCTTTGCAATACTAATAGTAGCATACTGGTATACTGGCTTAGCTTGACTCTCGGATGGAAATCCAGTGCTTGTCAAATTTTTTTTTTTTTTTTTTTTTGTCTAAGTCGTGTTTATTTTTAACTCTTTACTTCCCACACCTCTTACGCAAGCTTAAATTTAACAAAATTAATTGTCTACAATTTTTCAACTTCACTTTCAGTATGAACAAATTTTATTTACGGGTAAATATGTAGGGGCGTTCAATTACAACTGTGACGGATGGCATCAGTTTTGCTTTTACTGATTTCGGTAGAAAGAATTGAAATTTCACTTTAACTGATCGTCTTAGATAAACTTTTTTAAAAACTTTTTTTAAAACTTACACACACACATAAAAGATGATCAAGCCGTTTTAAATTAAAACAGATTTTCATTATTGAACTCAATCATAAATTTACAAAATAAAAAAAAAATTAATTGATTTGATATGCTTTCAAATCGATTGCAATGCTAATGAAACTAGCCTAGTTTTTCATTATAAATTATGTCGTGGTAGAGATTACATAAAGCGAAACAAAGTCGATATTCGTCTATTAAAATTCAGAAAGAGGTGCATATCCGCGACGCTTGTAGGAAATGTGTTTTTTGTTTAAAATGTTCGCATATTTTTCTCTCAAATGCGTATAACAGATTGAAAGTAAAACCAAGATATAAATTTCTGGTTAACTAAGAGCTGGACATAATTTTTTGGATATCAAATAACTCATGCTAATCTAAATCTTCTTGCACAGCCTAGCCAGGATGTTCAACCTTCGAAATACTCGTCTGCCTAAGGCGCCAGGATGGCATACTCCGGAGAATACTTTGAAAAACTAAAAATATAAAATTGGCACAGAAAAGTTGGATAAGATCTTAACTCATTAAAAATTGAATAAAAAATATGAACCGCTTATTTTTTATGGGCCAGTTTTTAAATAAATACAAATATTTATGTCTAGTCTTAAATACAGGTCTATCCAGGTTTTTAATTAACAAAAATATATGTCCTCTATTGCAAGTACCCAAAAATGTATGTGCAGTTTTGAAAATGCCGAAAATGTTTGTCCAATTTTTCATTTGCTAAAACCTGGACATCAGTTTTTAAATTACCGTACAGTTTTCAAAATAACGAAAATTTATGTCCAATTCTTAATTTGTTAAAAACTGATGTCGAGTTTTTACTTATCAAAACGTCATGTTTACTTTTATAATACCAAAAATTATGCCAACTATTTAAATTGCTACAAATTGATGTCCAGTTTTAAATTTACTGGGAACTTGTATTTTTGAATAATTAAAAAGTCATGTGCAGTTTTTCGACTACAAAAATTGTATGACCACTTTCGAGATTGCTAAAGAGTATACCCTGTTGTGTTTAAATTACATAAATTGAATACTAGTTTTCAATTTACCGAAATTTTTTCCAGGTTTTAAATTAATAAAAAATCATGTTCACTTTTATGACTACGAAAAATGTATGACCCATTTCTAAATAGCCAAAAGTGTATTACCATAAATTGATTTCCAGTTTTCAATTCAAAGTTTTTTGTCCAGGATGTAAATCTTTAGAAAATCATGTCCACGTGTTACATTTCAAAAAAAAAAAATCGATGTCCAAGGGCCAAAAATTTATGTCCGGTTTTTACTTAAAAAAAAAAAAAATGAAACTTTCAAAAATACGAAATTTTTGGCTTTCTAGTTAAGCAATTTAAAAATTTTTTGTTTGCCTAGAAATTTTAAAATTTCAGTATCTTTTGTTGGAAAGACGAAGTTAATTAGTTCATAAAATATGATTTTTTTGTATCCAAACATACATATTGATTTGTGTTTTTTAACTATTTTTATGTATGTTAATATATATTTACATATACTTATAAATACATGTAGACTTAAATATTTATGTACATACGTATGAATTTATTTCTAATTCTATTTCTAACTCACCATCAATTTCCGTAGCTTTCCGTTCATAAAATAACATCCAGACAGCTGCTGACAGTTTTTTTTTTTTATAATTTTAATAATTTCGTTTTTTTTTGCAAAATGCTTTGTTGTCTGTAGCCTTCGCTAATTTCTATTTTTTTAATTTCTCGATTTTGTTTTTTGTTTTATGGCCACTTTTTCTAAGATACTACACTTATTGGCTTACAACTGATTAGCCATACATAGCAGCTGTTGTGAAATTGTGAAAAAAAAAAAATTTTTAATTGGTAACTTCTTTTAGCAAACGAAATTTCAGCATTCGAGAATCCATTGAAAAAAGTAACACACTCGTGCACTCAACGACATGCCAACAACAGCAGCAAACAAACATTTTACAACAGAAAAAAAGAACAGTGCAGTGCAGCTCTCTCTATCATTGCGTTCGATGCTTGAAAAATACCACAAAAACTCGCACGTCTTTTGAATGCTCTAAAGCATACATTTTTTAAATATATACTTATATAATTTTCTACTATACTCATATATATACAAACGTATGCAAAGTGTGTAAGAATGTCCATAAATTATATAAATTATTCATGCGACAAGTTTTGCTTTCTTAATTTGTTTGACGGCCATTAGCCGCTAGCTGGCCATTTGAATTATTAGTGAACTAAAAACACTGCTTCTCGTATTTGTTTTTTTCTTTTGCATGGCACTAGCATTGGCACCACTAGCCGCCACACCGGCAGCAATGGCAGCAGCGGCAGCAACACCACTCCCTGACCACCTTTCAATACATCAGCAGGCGACCATCAACGCTTTGTTTTTTCCTTTTACTGGTACTTGTATTGTATTTTATTTCTTATTTCAACTTTATTCCTTATTTTAGTTTTATTTCTCCTATTTCTTTTATAGTGATTTTAAGCCGATAATAGCGTAAAAAGGTATTGAGGAATGGCATATACACAGAATAGATTTGACATGGCGGCGGTTGTGGTACATAGCGTGGCAGGTAAAGCACAGCAGCAGGCGAATATGGATTATAGCAGAGGGAATGAATAATTCGAAGTGAAAAAATGATGTACATACATACGTATTTATACAACATTTTTTTGTGTTTGGTTATTCAATTTTTGTGCATTTTATTGGTATAATAGATCTCAAATTTCTATCAGTTAATACTGAAAATTGAGATTTCGAATTTTGTGGAATTCACCACGACGCTGTATCTCATAGCAAGGAAAGATGAGTGAGTTAGTGCTTCCGAGTAGAAATCGACGTGTAATATTATGCAGATGTCCGTAAATATGTATCGTTAAATGTAGATATGTACATAAATGAGAGCAGCCCGGCTTAGAAATCTTCAAATCAAGAAAACTAAGTAATCAGTAATAATGAAATATATTCGACTTATCCCTCCTAAGTCGTTAGTAATTTCGATTTGAATGATTTCTTTTCAACTGAGTAACGCTTCTAAATTGAAGCTTTCAGGCAAGGCTTTTTTATTTAATACCTAGGGTCATCGCTTTGGAGGCTATGTTAGATCTTCAAATAGGCTTGTTATTCGAAGAGAGTTGAAAAGGTGTATTTCGAGTAGTGGATGATGAATTCAATCGTAGTAGGCGGGTTGGTGCGTGTCTGAGCTCTACTTGAATTTCCACTCATGTATTATTTCGTCAAAACCTTTTTTGAGGACTTTTTAAGCTGTATACTTTTTAGTTTTCCTGATCATTTTGTATACTACTGCGAAAACTAACTACATATGTACATACTTATATGTTTGTAATAAAAAATAAATAGAAAGCTAAATAAACTAATTTTTAACCAATTTTCGATTACACACATTTACAAAACAAAATGTTAGATAAAACCCTAAAGGAAAAATAATTTTGGTTTTTTGAAAAAAAAATTAAAGGAACTGAGCTTAAGAAAATATGTATTTTTTAGAAAAATTACGTTTTTAAGATTCTATGTCTCAAGATCATAATATAATTTCTCTACAATTTTTGCAACGCCAATTAAGGGGTTTTAAAGAAAAAATGAGTATTATTTCTTAAATCTCTAATACAGTTTTTGAGAAAAACTTAAAAAAAAAAATGAAGTTGTGAAGAGCGCCTTTTTAAATAATTCTTTTGAGAAATCATTTTAGTTTTTAGGAATTTTTTTTTTTCCTGTAAAATATTTTTTTATTTTAAGATAAATTTTTTATTAATAAATTTTTGAAACAATTTTTCACCTTTTTTATCTTAATCATCAAAAAAAAAATTAAAATTTTAATTAAAACTTCAATTCTCTTAGATAACATGTAGGAAAAATGTTTTGGTTTTGAAAAAATTTAAATTTTTATGAACTAAAATTTAAATGAACTGCAATGAAAAGTATTTAAAAAGAAAACTCATTTTAAAAAATCGTAAAATGTTAACGTTTTTTATCCAATTCTTTTGAGAAACCATTTTATTTTTTAGGGATTTTTTTCTCTCCTGTAAAACATTTTTTTTGTTAAAGATAAATTTTTATTAATACATTTTTGAAAAAATTTTTCCGCAATCAAAAGTATTTTAAAAATAAAACTCATTTTAAAATATCGTAAAATGTTAACGTTTTTTGTCAGAACATTTTCAACACTTTTCATTTTTAAAGGGGATTTAAAAAATAGAACGCAAAAAGATCTTGCCAAGTCAAATTTCGTTAGGAAAAACTGAAGATACAAAAAAAAAAACCAATTTTGGAAATAATTTTTTCATAGAGCTTTCTTTAATTAACGTCGAAATTTTTTATTATTTAGAGAAAAATTTTAGGAAAAAAAGTTTTGAAAACAATTTTGCTATTGCTAATTTCATTACAAATCTTGCAGCTTTTAGGAAGAAATAAACTGGAAAAAAGTATTTTTAGAAAAAATTTATTTTTCAACGATTTTCTTGTTGTATCGCTTTTGTAAATTTCTTCTTAAACTCTAATTTAGTTTTATTCATGACTATGGTAAAACAAAATTTTCTGAATCGATAAAATAGTGGACAATATTATTTTTTGGGTAAATCGGACCATAATTTTTTTCGTTGTAATAAAATATCAAAAAAAAATGCAATAGTTAGATATTCGTTCATCTCTACAAAAACCAATTTTTACACAATTTTTTCAAATACTTTTCAAAGAAAAATTTAATTAAAATCATATTTTTGATTTGATAAAACGTCTGCTTGTCATAGAAACAATTTTTAGCAGAACATTTGCGATTAGTTAAATTTTTTTAACTGATTAAACAACATATTTTTTTTTTTGTTGATTTGATAAAACATTAAAATTTGTATTTTTACTTTTTTTGATTTGATAAAACATATTTAATATATTTTTTTTTTTTGATTTGATAAAGCTTAAACTTTTTTACTTTACGTAACCTTACTTTACTTGCTTTACATCATAAATTTTTTTGTTTGATTTGATAAAATATTAAAATTTTTATTTTTGGTTCTTTTGATTTGATAAAACATATTTAAATTTAAAGCTTAAACTTTTTTACTTTACGTAACTTTATTTAACTTTACCTTTTGCCTATGTTTAAAATATCTTCAGCGTTTTTTTTTTTAAATAAATATCTTTGGAGTCCAAGGATCTTAAGAATTACATATGAAAGGTTTTCAAGTTTAAAAATGTTAATTATATTAATGTTAGCATTAAATTCAGGTAATTTGTATATACAAAGCTTTATAAAAGTAATGAAATTTTAGCTAAAAGTAGTCTTTTGATGATTTAGATAAAAAATAACAGCATAAATTGATTTCAAAACAAATATTTATGAAATAAATTTCTTGAAACAATTTGAAACAAAAAATTTAAAAAGGTAGTTGTTTCTGTTAAAATATTACTGGGTTGATTTCTTTATTGTTTTAATTTTTTTTGTTTTAAAGCTCACCTAAAAATATTTCTGAAAAATATAGAAAGCAAAAACCAACAAAGTTTTAGCATTTCAGATAAAAAAAAAAAAGTAATTTGTTTCTAAAGAATTACAAAAAAAAAATTTTTTAAATTAAAGTTTCACTAACCAATTTTTATTCAAGTTTTATCTTTCAACCACATTTTTTTCTTAAATTTGTTTTAGTAAAATTCTAACTTAAAAAAAAATTTATAAAAAGTTTAATTTTGCAGAACAAAATGTCTTAAATTTTTTGAGCGAATTATTATTTTTTAATTAAAATCCTAAAATGGTTTTCTTTAGAACAAAAGCTCTAAATATCTATATCATAAAGATTTTTTTAGAATTCTACTAATCGAAGTGTAATCAAAACCATTACAAGTTTTTAACACTCATTAAAGTTTTGACTTAAAGGAAATGAAAACTCTAAAAAGCAGTAAATTAACAACACTCATCACAATTTCGCCCATTCGCACGGCATCGATTACAGTACTTACATACTTATGTGAATAGACAGAGCAAGTGCAAGTTAGCGGCTGGCCGCCATCCTCCACCTGCAGCCGCACCCACACCCATAACCATAGCAAAAAAGTTTCAGTAACAACGCTGCATGAAGTGGATGAGCTGATGATTTTCGTGGCTTAAATTGTTGTGCCAATAGCAGCACTACATACATACATACATATGTAGGTATATATGTGCTGTGCCACTTGCCACATATCTGGTGCTTGTACCCATACATATGTACATATGTACATGCAAACAAATTTATGTGCATATTTCTACCACATATCGGCCACTTTATTACGGCACTGCATTCGCGCTAAACCGCACCGCCGTTCGCCTGTGTACACTGCCATGCACCACCATGCACTCCTATTGCCTGCTGCCACTTGTCCGATCCCCCCTCGGCGAGTCACTTGCACATTTGCAGCACAACCTCTAATTGCAAAATACTTTATGCCTTTGCATAATTTTTGCTCCTTCGCCTTATTCTTTGTCTTCTACTTCTACTTCTTCTGGTTCTTATGCTCAATAAGCTTTGCTGCTTTACTTTCATGGTATTTGTCTGGATTTATTTTATTTTTTTTGCTTAGAGTTTTCCTTTTTCCTATTTCTTTGTGCAAAATGGAGTTGCTGCTGTTGAGTGCAATTTTCTATTGTTTTTTTTTTTGTTTTTTTTTTTTTTTTTTTTGAAGAGCGTTGGTCTTAACGATGAGCCTGGAGTCGAGTCATTTGAATCATTATTTGTATTAAATTTATTTCACAAAGAAAATCCACTACAGTTTATTTGAAGTTTGAAAGCGATTTGAATTGTTCAGCGCAAACGAAAGACTCACGAAACGAACGCGCGTTCAAATATTTGCCAAAGGCAAACGCGTACCAACTCCACGTTTACTGCAGCATTCGCTATCGTAAAAATTTCACTTTATACGCGCGCAGACTCTTGCGTTTTTTCACAGTTTTTTTTTATATATTTTTTTTCAGTTTTTTCTGCTTTATTTTTCGTATCCCTATACGCCGCAATCGGATTAAATCAGTTATTTTTGCTTTGTTCTTTCATCAGCAGATTTATTAATTCTATATATGCACACAGTATCAAATCGGCTTCAAAATATTATAAATTATACACAACGCTGTGCTTAACGAATAGCCCACAGAGTGCCAGTTCACTAAACAAATCAGGTATTTAGAGTCAATGAAGCATTGCAAAATCTCTTAGTTATTTCTTATTTTCATAGCAGTTAGTTATGTAGGTAGCACTAAATATCTTATCCGTTTACTGTACCATACCACACGAAGGCCAAACACACACTAAAACTTGCTTGGGAAACATCTGAATTACCAACCAAATGGTGAACCAGCAAAGAGACAAGTAGCCGGCCGACAAGCCCAACACCAAAAGTACCAAGCAACGGCGGCGGCAACGACCAAGAAACCACGAAACTCAGCAGCGGTTAGTCAGCCAGCCAGCCAGCCAGCCAAGTCAAGTCAAGACGAAACGAAAAAACGGGCTACAAGGCGCGCGAAAACAAAAACAAAATTGTGCTATGCAGACACACACATACACGCGTATATGGACATATGTCAGCAAGTATGTGTCTGTTGATTTACTTATGGGTTTGTGTGTGTGCAAAGGCACTCTTCTGTTTTCCTACTTTGCTTTCGCCTTCGTCTTTTCGCCTTTCGACTTTAACGAGTGCGAGTTTGAAGTTAGTATTGCCACTTTGTTTGAATTTAAATTTAAAAAAAAAAAGCAAAATTTGAATGTAGAGTTTTTGTTTGTTAGGGGTTAACTTACGATGTCTGCCACTCTCCTGGAAGCAGAACGGCACTCTTAAGCAAGGATCATACGATTTGTATATTTTAGCAGTAGCACAGTGTGGTATTACCGAGTCGTAAGGCGCGGACGCGGGCCGCCACGAAGCTACGCAAATTTAATGTTTGAAAGAGCAATAATGTCAACGGATTTTATTTCGCTTTTGAAAAGGTAATACTGTCGATTGACTTTATGCGAAATAGTGTCAATTGACCTTATTTACGTTGATTTTGCTACCTATCACCGTAGATTTTTATCTGTTTAAATTTAAACATGAGCACGACCCGTACTGGGACTACTGCGGAAGTGGCGTGGAAGAAGACGTCCACCATGTATTCTTTGAGTGCCCTCGATGCAATCGGCAGATGAACCAATTGAAACTACCCGTTGGAGAGGTGTTTACGACACACAGTCAGTAGTCGACTATACGATGAAAGGAGCCAGTGAATGGGCATTAACCAGCGACACACTCACTTCAACTCTGAAGAACTCAGGACCCTAAAAAAATAGCGACGTATATCCGCGCATTGGAACCAAACCAAGCCCAGGCGCGGACTTGAACTTAGGCCGTTGCAGCCGTCAGAGCAGTGCGACTTTGAAATCCATGCACCCGTAGAGCAGGGGGTGCTAAATTTCGGTGCTGTCGATGCGTTAAAACATTGAGGATACCGCATGTCCACGATTTCTCGGAGTCGGCTAGGCATTGCAAGAGTGCCGGAAGTGTCGACTCAAGAACAGAGCTCAATACTCCCCATTTTTTTCTCGTCTCTGGAGCCATGACAAGAGTCCAGGCAACACATTTGCTTATCGTGCCTTGCCATTAGATATGTTGTTTGGCGGTTCAGCATATCTGATCTCTCTTCATTGAAACCTGACCTGTACTTTATTACCTAGGATGTAAGTTAGACTGACCACCAAACGTTCATTAGTTCGATAGAGATAGATCTGAATCGAAGTATGAATGAAGATAAGAGCATATGAGAACGAATAATGATACTAATGATGGCCTAACTTTGGTGTGACTTCCACCAAAACTTGACAAGGAATGAGGGAAAATTGTTCCGAAATACAGCGAGATACATCCGCTACATGCGCACAGTAGCCTGTTTAACATCCGCTACTGTGGTTTTGACCGCGAAGAGCGGTCTGACTTAAGCTATGTATATCCATGTATAATAGCCGGTCTCAGAGCTTAGGTCTAACTGAAGGCTCCCCGCCAATTGAAATGCTACTGAGCCGGAGGCACCCTTACATTATGACCTTTAATGCGGCTAAGTAGAAAGACACCGCAATGGTCACAGAGCTGGAAGCTGCGGTTTAGTGACAGCTCTTCTGAGCAAAACCGCAATCCTACATACCTGGTTCATCAGCTTTGAGCTATCGAGAAACTATAGCAGTAGATCTGGAGTCTATATCTGTGAAATATTAGGGTTTTTCATAATCTTGGTATGTTTTTAATAAAAAATATTTGACCATGCACTGGCTGCCGCAACATGGGCTCAGATTTTTAGCGAGTCTTCTGGTAATTTTGCTGTAGTTTCTCTTATGTTCATTACCCCCTTTTTTTGACAGCCACTGCAAACAAGCGATGCAGTAGTAAAGGTAAAGTTTCTTTGCGTTTAAAGAAGAATGGCGGCGAAAACAACGCTGCTAAGAAATTGTGAATTGAGCAGTGTTGAAGAAAAATTTCCGCGGCGAATTGATGCTAGGTGTTGCAGCAACAGGTAAACAGCAAAACAACACACATTTTTAGGGAGAGTGAGAAAATGAGCGGTGAGTAAAATCGGCGTAAAATGCATGAAAGCATTTACTTGCAAACAAAGGCAAGGGAAATTTTGAGCCATTATAAAGAATGGTGCAAATGTGCGCTACACTCGAGCTGACTTAGAAAATCCGGTGTAGTAAATTTTTTCCAAACATATGCACACTCTATGATAACAAACGATTTGAAAACACTTCCAATGAAAATTTGTACATTTACTTATTACACCTTATTTATTATCTGTTTAGCAAAACTTCTGGTTACTTTGAACGATTTGAAGTACCTGCCCGCCCGCTTGTGCCCTTTTGTACCTTTTTCACACCATACATATGTATGTATTTAGATATTTTTTCTTTTGTTCCTGTGTGCCTTTGTTGTTGCCTGCCGTGATGTCATTGATCCTTTTTACGGTGCGCAGTTCGCCTTTTATTTCCAAACAATTTTCCCATTGATCCTTTCTTCGTCCTCATTTTTATGCACACGACATGGGTTTGTCAATTATTAGGTAACACTTACTACAATATATTTATATAGGTATATGCATGTACATATATCTTTTATTGCATTTTTATGATTCTCATTTGTCGATTACGTGTAACCAATGCACTGTAACCGATTAGCAACGGACATGGCATCCGTCAACTTTAGAGGTTTTTACATATGTGCGCAGAATTAGGGTAGAACTTTGGCGTGAAAAGAACTGAGATCTTGTACTTAAGTACTAGAACTGGTTATTTGAGATCAATAAATTTTTGGTACGCAAAATTTTCTCCTCAAGAACATCGATAAATCATACTTTGTAATACGTCTGTAAATGCCGAAGATATGTATGACGAAAAATTTAAAAAGTCGGCCCTAAGGTTCGGCCATAAAAAAATATTTGTTTCGAAATCGCCTTGCGACAACACTTTACAACTCAGAGGTGTACGGCGAACATTTTTTGGTTGCTTGTAAGATGGTATGGTCTAATGTAGGGATGGGCAGATTTTTGGCTCTTAAAGCATTCAAAGAGCCAGCAAGAGGTAAATCAGTTCTCAGGGTAAAGGGGGTGTACAAAATACATTAAAAACATCATATATACATATTAGTAATGAGAGTCGGAATACAAGAAATTTGAATACGCTCTTGTTCCCCCTTCATGCTGGCTTTGGATGTTGCCCCACATCTACCATCTAAATGTGCCAAGCCGGCTCCTAAGTCCAAAAGGCTCATGGTAGCCACTTTGCCCACCTATGTACAAGGGATAATGCCTGCCAATACTGAATAGCTGTCCCTTTTGCTCATGACCATCTATTTCAAAGTCGATTCACATTCGCTTTCTGTCGTTTGGTTGATCTGTCTTTGGAGCACCATGCTTAATGTGACCAACTATTTCATAGCTCAAAGTACAGGTTAGGTTGGGTTAGGTTAACACCACAAGCCGATTACGAAATTTCGAATGGGGCTAATTTCTATTCCTGAGAGCTCAGCGTCAGTTCAGAAGAGCGAGCCAAAATGCTTCCATCTTTGCCTTGCGAAGGTTTGGCAGTGTAAAAGAAAGTGTGGAGATGATTCCTCTTTATCTTCCTCTTGACAGCTGATACAAAAGAGATCAGTTGAAATTCCTAGTCTTACCGAGTGAATATCAATCGCACAATAGCCTGTCAGAACCCTCATCACTAGCTCTTAAGAGGTAACGTGGTATTCGGCCCCTTTAAGGGGTAACGATGGGCCACACGTTACTTGCGCTGCAAAAGGTATTTTGAAGTGCCTTATAAAAACATTTGCTGCAGCGGAGAAACGTCTTATTTTCCTCCTTTATGTCACAAAAGGAGCATGGTTTTTTTTTGTCCATTTTATTAGGTATTAAGTAAGGTAAGGGCCGAGCTCACACTAGGCCCAACCATCCAAGAGTGTACCGCAGGAGGACGGTGGCGTCCCTAGTTGCTTTTTGTCTAGGGATAACGATTTAAGGGTGCCTTTTCAACGCCAGGTCATGAGCCACGCAGTTTTCCACGACGTCACAGTGACCCGGCACCATTCCTTTACCGATTCTAATGCCCTTAGCAGTGAGTCCACCGCTTCCTTGATGGCAGCTAGAGGCCAGACAAGATCTCGGTGAACCAAGATAAGCTTAAATCTGGTTCCATAGAGCTGTAGCAACCCTACAGCAGTACAAGACAACCGACGCCTTTTCTTACCCTTTCCTCAATGTTAGGCTTGCACGACAGTTTCTTATCCAGGACCAAGCCTAAGTACTTGACCCTGTCTGAGAGCGGCAGACGAAAGGGCCACAACGGGTACCTTGTACTTCCTGGTAAACAAGACCAGTTCCATCTTGCTGGGATACACTGCGAGGCCGTCGTTCATCGCCCACCTAGTTACCTGGTTCAGATAACTTTGAGTCTGATAAAAAAGGGTGGATAGAAGTCGTCCCTTAAAAAAAAACGTTTCACATCATCTACAAAGGCGATCACCCGACAGCTCACTCTTTCCAGTTCCTCTAGATGGTCGTTTAAAATCGCAGTCCAGAGCAGGGGAGAGAGAGCACCACCTTGGGGAGTGCCCCTATTGACTCTGCGCTGAGTGCAGGCGCTCCCCAAGTTTATGAATAGACTTGACTATTGCCTCTGGAGTGACATTGTTGAAGGCCCTCTCGACAACGAGGAAGGCCCTTACTGCGTGAAGGCTTCCTCTGACCACCTTAGCAATGTGTGCAGGGTGGTGTCCACTGACCTTGCAATAAGCATTTTGAGCTCTTGAAAGATAGTCACGAGGAATTGCGTTGCTTATGTACAGGTCTATCCATCTCTATAGCGGTTTTAGCAAAAGCGAAGACAGACTGATACTCTTAAAATCACTAGGAGAAACATAAGAGCCTTTTCCGGCCTTCGGGATGAACGCAACACTGACTATCATCCAAGCCTTGGGGATGTACCCGGGCCTCACGCAGTTCGCAAGTATGATGTCATCGGTCACAGGCGAATGGTTTGAACGAATTTATCGCCCAGGCGATCGTCCGGAAGATCGGAGAACTACAGGACCTGAAGTTCAAAATATTGCAAAGAAGTATATTTGACTGTACTTCGAAGTACGAAGTACAAGAGCTAAAAAAGAAGTACTGTACTTCCGAAAGAAGTACGGTTGGTCACATTAACCATGCTCCATGTACGCAGGATATCCTTGTAGGCAACGTCTTTCCATTTTGCCCATAATTGCGTATACCGAAATCCAATAGCTTTCTCAAAAACCCTGATCATGGAACAAGAACTTCAGTATTATCTAAGTACAAAGGTGGATGGATTTAATTTTGATTTTTTTTTTTAATTTTCTTATCCCATAACGGCAAACTAGTCTGACAGTAACTGTTGTGCCTGAAACTACTTTCGGTCGCCAGCTAA